TCGAATCATCGACATATAGAATAGACTCTATCCTGTGATAGACACTGCAGATGAAAAGGACGGGAAAAATATATATTTATATATTAAATAGGACTCTATATATACATATAAGGATTTGAAAAATAAATACTATATACTCAAAAAGGTCGTAAAATAACTTGGGCTTAAAATTAGTTTTAAGTAAATTTTTGCTCTTACAATTATGTAGACTCGAAAAGTAAAAGTATTTGGTTAAATTGTTATCTTTACATTGTTACATTTTTAGAAATTGTTGATGAATTGCCATAATTACAGAAATCTCGGTTCATTGCAGAAAATAAAAATACTCTTTTCTTTGCATTCTTTTTCTTTGCGTAGGAATGAGTGTTTGGAAATCATTAATATTAATTATAGATAGTAATTTGTATAAAAAAAATATATATAATTATTTACTAGAAAATAATTGTAAACTGCCAGGTTTACCCTTTGCCTCATTGCGCTTTAATAAACTAAAGTAATTAATTTACAGAAAAGAAAGAATAAATTGTGTTTTCACTTCTATATGTCGATGTGGCTAAACTCAACTATTTCATCTAGAAAATCGGTTCTATAACTATACATAAATTATGGCATGAAATTTGTATTTTATTTTTTTAAACTTTTTCATTTTCACTGTGCTTTAATCTTTGTTTCTTAGCGTTATTTTATTATTTATTATTTTGTACTATTAATCACGGTTAGCATACCGCTTATTGCCGATGAGCCCGAGACTTCACATCACTTTTCTTTATATTTTTATTTTTTATGAATTATTAACTATTACACCTATGTACCATAAATGCATGTTTTTCGTATGTGTGTATTATTCTATTCTGAAGATTAGTTATATAATTATCTATGCGCTTACACTAATAGATAAATTTGAGCATCAAGGGCGCACACAGCGGAGTCGAGAAGACTTTTATATATTTCTTTTCTTTCCAAGTGCGCCCTCGTTGCGTGCATACGTCACATTTTCGGCAATATTACGATAAAACAACCTGTTCGATTTTCATTTCAATTACAACAGAAGCTAATTAATGCCAGAACTGTTTATGCATGACACAGTAGATCAATTTTTAAAAAATAAAATTTCATCAAACTGCTCACACACACTTATAGAAACACTTATAGAAAGTTTTATAGTGTAAAACCACATATATATTCAATACATTGCTCTCGGAAATTTTGCAAAATGGTTCTATGAATAAATGCTGTCTGTTTGCTTAATACTGTAAACAATATAATAAACCTAAACTTATTTCGTAATCAAAATAAAAATATTGTACAATATTCTTCCTTTTTTTGCATTTCCAGAAACTATTTTTTTAAATATGTGCACGATTGCGTTGCAACAATAGAGAAATTTTTAAATCTTACAACTTACATTGAAAAAACTGTTTGTTTAAATCTAATTATTTTAAGAATAAAATAGTACAGATCAACATCAAGATATTAACGTGTGATAATAAATTACTAGCTTTGTGAGAAGTCAGTAATAAACAAAATTAAATGTTAAACTTTTTCACTAACTCAAGATTTTTAGCTAAAATATTAATGTGTTTTTATAAATATTTTAACTATTAATTTTAATTCAATAACTCGAGATTTAATCTCCGGTTAATCGACTTGGAGAAAGTGAGAATCCCCAAGATTTTTAACTTAAATTTTTTTTTTTAAATACTAAAGGCATAATTCAAGCACAAAAGCCGACATTTAGTTGTCAAAAGTAAACATTAATTTTCTTTTATTTTTAATAACAAACTCATTGAAATCGCTTGAATTTTCAATTTCAGATTTTTTTAAACAAACAAATTTTTTAAATTCTATTTTTGCTTTGCAATATTAACTATTTAATAAAAATTCCGACTTCTCTTTTTTATCAAAATAATATCAATGAAATACATTGAATAGGAATAATAATATTAATAATATTAATAATAATAATAATAATAATAATAATAATAATAATAATAATAATAATATGTCTAAAATATAAATCCGTCAAAAATATCCAACTGCTCTTTCAGGTATGATCAACCTAAATTAGACTGCTGTCACAGTTTGCATCACAGAAATGTCAACATTTTTAATTTTTTATACATAGTAGATTAAATCACCGGTTGTATTAAAACAATTCAAATTGATTACACCTGAAACATGAATAATGTACAAGAATGTATTCTCAACAGTACAAACATAAAGACTAATTCCACTGTTTAGATAAACAAACACTTTAAAAAAAAGTAATTTTTATTAATAATATTGGATAATCGTAATATTATTATTGAGCGTGTCAACATTTCCTTTCTCTTTTTCGATAAAGTGATGTCACAAACAGTGGTCTTTCAACTTTCGGGAAAGTTGAAAGCCAAAAAATTGCATAATTGGAACGAAAGTAACAAAACAAAAATTTCTTTACTCGCATAAAGTGCATAAAATGCATATAAAATGAATGATGAAGAAAATATACAAAATTTGTACCCTACTTTTTTTTAAGTGCAACCGTAATTTTTACATGCACTTACTTAATTATTTATAAGTATCGCATGAATGACTGACTTGCTTCTTTATTGTAATGCATTTTGTGTAAATATATGCAGTAGTTATATTAAAAATTAAAATAAAAAAGGTTTAAATTAAAGAAGCTAAGCTTCATCACTTAAATTGAAATGATACATCTCCGCTCTGCAGAGACATGGGCAAATACATATATTAATTACAATATTTTCGTACAATCAAAATAACTATCTATTTACAGTAATGTGTTTTCAATTCATATACCACGATGCGTATACGAACACACGTATAATGTCTATACACTCGGTGAGTGTATTCTCGATGCGTCACACCGATACATTAATACCGATCAGTGAAATATATATATGTATATGTAATTTTTATTTTTCTTTCTTTTTCTTTCTTTTTCTTTCTTTTCTTTCTTTTCCTCCTTATTTCTTCTCGCGCGAGGCGAACATTCTGAATTTTATCCCACGCCGTAATAATTTTATTATTGACATGTTTCATATTATTTGCATTAAACAGTAGGTACTTTTTCTAATCATCGCAATAAAATTTTCCATGTCAAGCTTTCAACGAAGCTTAAAACTTTCGCCACTGTTGGAGGCGATAAGTATCTCTCGTACGTATTTCGATGAAAACGATTAATAGTATGTTTGATAAATTTTTTTGTTTTTTTTTTTGTTTACATGTTCAATAAAGTTTTATTAATAACTTGCGGATAAAATTGTCGACTCGCTTCTTTACTTCATCGCCATTAATATTCATTCGCGTTTACAGTGTTGTGTTGATAAATCTTTGCGTAAACTTAGTACCTATGAGTTGTCCAAGTTCTCAGCTCGGAGGGTGAAAGAGATTATTTCTTGCTCAAAATGGGAGAAATAGTATGCTTGAACTGTTATTACTATTAAATGCGACTTTAGATTCCTATGATAATAAAACAGACTATTTTATGTTCCCTGTATGGTAAACGTTATAGAAAATGATTGAGGTAGTATATTTATACTTTTGGCAGATTCGCGCATAACGCGTCAATTACAATTACGTTTTATCATATAACTCTTACAATATGAATATATATGTATGTACTTATCATTATTTATAACTTAAAAATGGACAAGTGTTGCTTTCGGAAAAAAGGTATAGGGTGTTAAGTATGCAAAAATTGACCCCGCATGTATTAATCTCATATTGATGCCATATACTGCTACCAATAACAATATAAAATAATGAAAATTTCAACCCCCCATCTACCTTCCTTCCTATTTTTCTTTTAAAAAATACCTTAGAATGTCCGCTTTAATATATATTTTTTCCGGATTTTTGAAATATGAAGTTCCTTCAAAAAACGATTTTTTTGGAAAAAAAAACTTAAAAACTCAGTTTTTCGGAAACTACTTAACCGATTTAAATGAAATTTAAATATGTTATAGACATACATAAAACATTTAAAGAAATGTTTCAAAGTTTAAAAAAAAAAATTCGAAAAAATTAATTTTAAAATTAAAGAAAATTTTTTTTCACTTTTGTTTAAAGTTACATATCCAATTTTTGTTTTTAAAAATTCCTTAGAGTTTCCTCTTTAATATATATTTTTTCCGTATTTTTGAAATATGAAGTTCCTTCAAAAAACGATTTTTTTGGAAAAAGCTCATTTTTTTCGGAATCAAGGTAATTAAAAAAAAAATTTTGTAAACGAATTTTGAATTATTTTTTTAAACTGTCTTATTTATGTTTATAACATATTAAAATTTTATTTAAATTGGTTAAATAGTTGCCGAAAAAAAAATGAGTTTTCTGAGAGTTTTTTTTTCAAAAAAAGTCGTTTTTTAAAAAAACTATATTTTTCAAAAATCTGGAAAAAAAATTCATTGAGGAGGAAACTCTGAGGAATTTTTATGTACAAAAATTCAAGGTGTAACTCTTAAAAAAAAGTAAAAAAAATTTTTTTTTGAAAATTTTAAAATTAATTTTATGAAATTTCTTTTTGAAAAATATTTTGAAACTTTTTTTTTAACTGCTTTATGTATGTCTATAACATATTGAAATTTAATTTAAATCGGTTAAATAGTTTCCGAAAAAAATGAGTTTTTAAGTTTTTTTTTCAAAAGTCGTTTTTTGAAAAAACTACAGTTTTCCTCCTGATGGGGGGTTGAAATTTTCAGGATTTTATACTGTCATTGGTAGCTGTATATGGCATCAATATGAGATCAATACATGCGGGGACAATTTTTGCATACTTAACCCCCTAGGTCTTTTCGTTATTTACCTATTTTAAATATAAACGATCGAGCATTATTGTTATCAACTCTCGGAGCTTTGTGAACTTTGTAAACTTTGAGTAGAAAAATTCATTGAGTAATGAAACAAAATAGATTTTTAAAAAAATTAAAAAATGAAATTTAATTTTGAATTAATAATAGTGGAAAAAGTTTATTCATATATATAAAAAAAACAAAGAAACAAACTTTAAAGAGAATCAAAGAAAAGATCTAACAAATGAACATACATTTTAGAGTCATGTCCAGGACTCTGTAGAAAATTTAAAAATAAATATTTTTACTGGTTCTTCAATTAAACACTTTAAGTTAATAAAACAAAAACATTTTTAAATACTAAATAATCCTGTGACGGCTCTATTGCCTTTAACAAACTAACTATAGGTATATCGTTGTGTAATAATTCTTTAAACGTCTGTAACAAAAAATGAGAAAAACTTGTAAAACTTGTAAATACTGCAACAATAGAATATCGGAGGTGTCTTGACTAGCAGCATTTTATTAAAGTTATTGATCACTGTTTATCATAGAATTATGGCCATCAAGTTAACCATAAACTACTTCCTATTTGTGACGTCTTCTTCATGTTCGCGAACCTATTGCTATGGACAAAAGTCCATTGTACTAAATAATGTAAACAGGTAACAAAATGATATTGATGTTCAGGGTTGGCATTTTTTTACGAATATTACAATTGGAAATGTAATTCAAGTTTTGCAATTACCAAAGTAATTCGAAGCCTCATTAGATTAAATGCATGTGAGCGTAATAGGCGTAAAAAATTCAAACGCAACCCTGGTAATATCTCATCTAGGCAACAACATTTTAAAGAACGTGTAGGAACTAGAGTGTCTAAATGTTTCAACAAGTTGATATAAATAAAATGGAAATGACTATGTATCATGACTCTGAAGGCCCCGGAAAGTGGTTGGAAGCAGTGTTGCAGTGTTGCAGTGTTGCAGTGTTGCACGTACACGTTCTTTAAAAACCTTTAAGCCTGGCATAAATATAATAATCATCGGTGTCTGGCCATCCTTAATATTTACTATCGCATAGAAATAGAAACAGTTTTAAAAAAATCACTACTGGTATAAGTATAAAATCACTTTGATATAAAGACATGTTATTTTTTGGCACTGTGCGTGTTATAACTTAAAATTATATTTCAGTTTCAAGTACTAGCTTGATTCTTGATTCTTGGTTCTTGGTTCTTGGTTCAGACTTGAACAGCAGTATTGAGAGTATTGGCTGATTGGCACCACAATACAAACGGCTCGTGTTTGCAATCGAGTGCTCAATCATCTGTTTGCTATATAGATTTGCTTTTTATAAAAATTTCACTTATATCAATGGTAACACGGTCTTTCATCAGTTGCAGTTGCAGTTCCAGTTTACAAAATTTGCCCTATAATATCTATAATATAACCTGAGATAATTTGCAGTTTTGTCTGTGAACTTGTAGATCTGGCAGCACGCATACTTTTTCTCTTTCATTCATTGTTTAAGACTATAAAATATGCATCTGCTTATTTCCATTTATTTGTTTAGCACACGTAGTAATAATTATATTTCACTGTTGCACTTTCATTGACTAGTTTTGTGTTTGATGCTTTCTCATTGTTACATTTTACTCATGAGCTGCGACATTTTCAATGCCTCATTCAGTTTTCGTGTTCTCATAAAAATCTGTGGTTTTAACGAAAGTAAGAACAGTTTTGGATGCCATATATTTAGTTTTAAGAGGGGTGACTAATTCGACACTCGCAGGTCCCTATAGTAATCGTTTTTCATCATGATTTGCAGTTCGAATAATTACGCTTTCAGTTTGAATGGATACTATTGAGATACAGTATCGGATACCGAGTGGTTCGCCTGTTGGAAGGACTTTAAACTCAACTCTGTCTTGTGCTCCCGAGCAATGTGTCGTCGCACCGTATTGTTCCTGGTGAAGGTCCTGGTGCAAAAGGGACACGGAACCCTAATACCCTGATGGCGCTGTCTTATGTGGGCTCGCAAATTCGTCTCATAGCCGTAAAGTCTCTCACAAAAGGGGCACTTTAGTTTCTTGCCTATAACAAACAACACATTTCGATTACTTGACAGTGGCAAAGCAAATAGGCACGTCAGCTTACATTCAATCAATGCATTGTCAAAAAGTACTTCTTCTTGATACAAGTGCGAGAAACACTTATTTTTCACTTATTTTTCACTTATTTTTCTACAAGTCATGCGTGAAGCTGAAATATTTTAATAATATAATAAGCAATGAAGAAAACTATGTGAAATGTAGTTTGTCGTACTGAAGAAGAACTTGCATCTTTATGTTCATTTTTGTGCAACATGCTAGAAGAAGTACCAATCGTCGGAGCTACTGCAATATCGCGTATTTGCAAATGCCTTAAGGGTGATATCACATGACAAATTGGACAAAAAGTGGCCTTTAAGGAATTTACAGATGTGCGGTATTAGATCCGACGCAATATTTTTATGCAAGTTTTTCCTCCGCACGCACGGAAGTATCTAATGCTTGTCATAAACAAATGATAAATTAATCTCACTAAGTAGATAGTAACGTCACACTGCTAGTAAACGAGAGAAAAATTACTCTGGCTAGTTGCAAAGTTTTCTATTCCCCTGATTATTAGGACTACACTGCTGTCATTTGATAATATGTAATTATTATATTACAATTTTTACGAAAAAAAAATATCAAACAAATTTCAAACGTATACTGAAAATTAGTATTCACAGTAAAATTTACTCTTTACGAAGCAGAAGTAATGTTTTATGTAATAAATTTCATTTGACAAGTACTACCACCATTTTGAACTTTTAAAATTTGCCATTAAATAATAATTTGCCCAAATAATAATTTTCAAGCAAATAATCTGGTAAACTTAAATTTTTGATCGCCATATTAAATCCTCTATTATTCTGAATTTTAATTTGGACATCAGATTCCAATTCGGCGATTTGTCATCAAATTCGGATTCAGCGACCCCAAAAACCCGTCTGTTAACAGACAATTCAATTATTATTTTCAAGAATATTTAACTAAAATTCTTCTTTAAATCAATTATTGTTAATAATTTTTTAAAAAGTTCCTTGAAAATTTTCAAATTCATTTGTTTACAATTCAATTTTGCAAAATTTCAATTATTCGTAAATTCTTTAATTAAATATATACCTATTAGAGAATAGAAACTTGAAATAATATTAAAAAAAATTCAATTAAACTATTTCAAAAAAATTAATTCCATAGAATTATTAGTTAAAAATATGAAACATCCAGATTTTCAAAGATTTTAATTTGTAACCTTTTCAAAATACATTTATTTCTAAAAATTCACGCTCTAATGCTTTTAATATTCAATTATAATCTAAAATTTTAACTGAAATTCATTTTTAAAAAATTAAATTCCCATAAAGAATGTTATCAATAAATTTTAATTTAAGTAATTAAATTCTTTAGACGATTTTCAATAAAATTTTTAAGAATAATTAAATTTTTCGAGGAAATTAATTAAAACTAGATATTAAAAATAATTGAAATTCTGCAATGAGTTTTATTATCTATGAAAATAATTAAATTCCTAAAAAAGAATTTTATTATTTACGAAAATAATTGAATCGTAAAATTATAATAAATAAAATAAATAATAAAATCCGTAAAAATTTTATTATTAATGAAAATAATTGAATTTCGGTGAAGAATTTAATTGTTTTTAAAGATAATTGAATTTTTGCGAAGAATTTTATTACTTTTGAAAATAGTAATAAATAAAATGTTTTTCGATCCTACATAAATAGTTTCATAAAAAAGCCGAATTTTTTTTTAAAAATTGACAATTTTGTATCTGCCGTTTTGAATTTCAAGATACTGAAAATACTGATATCATTCGCAATCAGCGACACCAAAAACCCCAGTGTATCAAATTTCAGGTGAATCCGATCAATTTATAAAAATTCTCCCGCCATATTGGATACGCCATTGTGAATTTTGAAAAACTGATTTCATATTCGTAATCGCCGTATCCAGAAACCTTAAATATACTTAAATACCTATAAATAGCTAAAAAAAAGCTAAATACCTATCAAAGCCTAAAAGACAACCTACTTTAAAATTTATCAATTTATTTCTCGGTCAAATTGACAGTGTGTGCTCCGAAGATTAGAATTAATAATTTATTGTCTTGATGTCTCTGTTTGTTTAACATCTAATATGTAACTCAAGTGTTATTTCTTGTTCACTATGAAATTTTACTCTTACTTCCTGTCGTAAATTCCTTTCAGGATTCCTTACAGGTACCCTACTTAAAGACACAGGTGTCTTGCAACACTTTTCCTTTAATCAAGGAAGTAACAACGAATCTGATAAATCTTTCTTTGTTTATCTATATTAAACAGTAACCACTAAAAATTATAAAATAATAATTAATAATTAATCACTGATGAAAAGATGAATAAAATGAGTAGAAGAGATGAAAACTTGTGTGCCAGTCTGAAAACTGAAAAGAAATGAAGCAAGTTGATGAACGGTACTCACCATCAGGTGTAGAAACTGTGCCAACTTTGTTTATTTTTGAGTTCCACATGGCAGGTGTCGGTGGTACAGGACTGAGGTCGGGTGTCGGTGGATGAACGGGAGGAAGACTGGCCATGCTGGGGCCAAGTTGCACTCCGTGCTGTAAGTGATCCGCTGTAGTGTTGTAGCTTCCGATTTCAAATCCTCTCCCAGAGTACACTTCATTAGTTAGTCTGTCGATTATTTTGTCGTCCTTCTCTCTGTCAATTATTGACATCGGCTCTTGCTTCACTCGAAGGTCTGAAATTACATTCAATTACGTTGCTGCAACTTTTATACAATATTCTTCTTGAATTTAGTTTACTCTCAAAATAATTCAAACTCCAAACTATGTTTATAATACATTTTTTTAATATCTTTAATTGTAAAATCATTTGGAACTAAAATAGATTTTTTTAAATAAATATTTCATTATTGTCCATCAAATCTTTTACAATTCAACTTTTCTAAAACTTCAATATCAAACTTTTTAAAATTCAATCTATATTAATATTAGTAATATTACAGGGTTGCCACGCAACCTGAAAACCTGGAAATGTCAGAGAATTTTATAAACCTTGAAAAAACCTGGAAAAGTCAGGGAATTTTTATCGGAATCCTGGAAAATTATTCTTTTCTAAAGTTATTGTGTTTGTTCTTGAAATCTAATTTTACTTAAATATTTCAAAATTAATTGAATTTTAAAAGAGTTGCGTTTACAATCTTCATAAATAGATAGATGAACTTCAAAAGATTTTAATTTGAAATTTTAGAAAATTTCATTTTTTAATTAGAAATTTCACAGCAATTCTATTATTTACAAATTTTTTATAAATTTCTTCCCAATAATTCAATTATTTTCATAAATGATAAAATTTTTACAAGGATTCAATTATTTTCATGAATAATACAATTCTTTATAGGTTTTCAATTATTTTCATAAATAATAAAACTCATCGCAGAATTTCAATTATTTTTAATACAATTTTAATGGAATTTCTCGAAAAATGTAATTATTCTTGAAAATTTCATTAAAATTCATTAATGAAATTCAATCATTTTAAAAAGCCTTTCTATAATTTATTTATTAGAATTTAAGTATTATTGCCAATACATTTTTAATTAAATTTCTTAAAAGAATTAAATTATTTTCAAAAATTTTAATGAAATTCTTTTTGACAATTCAATTTTTTTCAAAATTATTTTAATAAAATTCTTCGTAGAAATTAAATTAATTTCAATAATATATCAAAATTCAATTATTTTAAATATCTACTATTTCAATAAAATTTCACAAAAGAATTCAATTATTTAAAGAGAAATATATTATTAAAATTCGGCTCAAGATTATTCAATTATTTTCAAAAGTAATAAAATTCTTCGCAGAAATTCAATTATGGTCAAAAGTTTAAAAAAAATTCTCGTCAGGATTTCAATTATCTTTATAAATAATAAAATTCTTCTTCAAAATTCAATTATTTTCTAAAAGTTTAATATGATTTCTGTTAAAATTTCAATTATTTTCAAAAAATTTAATAATATTTCTGTCAAAATTTCAATTATTTTCAAAAACTTTTTTCAATTCAATCAAATTTTTTACAGAGATTCAATTATTTTTAATACAATTTGAATCTAATTTCTCGAAAAATAAAATTATTCTAAAAATTTTTATTAAAATTCGAATTTTAATTAAAAAATTTGTTGATAAAATTCTTTATGAGAGTTCAATTATTTTAAGAAACATTCAATTATTCAATAAATTTTTTTTGTATTTAAATAATGGAATTCTCGTAGAATTTTCTAATAAAAATTGATTTAAATATGAATTTCAGTTAAAATTTTAGATAATAATTGAATATTAAACTCTCTAAATTTGAATTAGTAAAAATGGTTTGTAATTTGAATTAGTGACTGAATTTTGCTTTTCAATTAGCAGATTTTACTAATAAATATTCGTTTTTACTAATTTAATAGTAAAATTTACTAATTCAAAAGCAAAAGTTCAGTCACTAATTCCAATTAGTAAACAATTTTATTAATTCTAATTAAAAGAGAAAGTATTAAAGCGTGAATTTTCAGAAATAATTGAATTTTGAAAAGGTTTCAAATCATAGTTTTTCAAAGTTTGAATTTTTAATACTTTAAACTGAAAATTGTGTAGATTTAATTTTTTTAAAAAAGTTTAATGGAACTTTTTTGAAATTATTTAAAGTTTTTATTTTCTAATATATATTTGATTAAAGAATTTCCAAATTTTCAAAGAAATTTTTCAAAAATTATTAAAAATAATTAATTTAAAGAAGAATTTTAGTTAAAAATTTTAGAAAATAATTAAATTGAAATGATAAAAATAATTTTTATGAAGTTACAGTAAGAATATTCTTATAATATAAAATGATTATTTTATCAGTCGGTCATCTTTAATAATTAATTAATTATTATAAAACATGAAGATATTGATTGCTCCGAGTCGAATGTTCATGTTTTATAACAATTTGTTTTAAAATTATTTAATTTTAAAAAGGTTTGAATTTGAAATTTTTGAAAATCTTAATTCCTATGTAAAAATAATAATGATTAAATATTATATTTATTTAAAAAAAGAAGAAGAAAAGTGAATTCTGAGTAATAATTTTGAAACTGAATCAGAATATTCTTCAGAGTGAAGGAAAAGTAAGAATTTTGTCTGAAATTCAAGGGAATGTCAGGGAAAAACAAAATTAAATTTTTCTTGGCAACAAATGTAGTTTTAAAAACCTGGAAAACTTGAAAAAGTCAGGGAATTTGAAATGAGCAAAAGCGTGGCAACCCTGTATTAATTTATCATTCTAAAATATAGAAAAAGTTCTAATTAGTTGAAATTTTTACTAATTCAAATTTGTTTTGTTATAATATTATTGCAAAAAAATAAAAAAAATTTTAAATTGATTTATTTTTCACTATTTTATAGGATGTGAAATTTTTTCGACGAATTTAATTAAAATTATAATTTGTTTAATTATTGTTAGAAATAGAAAGAATTTAAAATTAAATTTAATATTTTCTTTTTTTAAGTCTGTTTCGAATGGACAACAAAATTCATAATTTTCTTATAAATTCTAGAAATTGAATATTTTTATAGTACTTTTGATAAAATTCCCAGACAAAAAAAAAGATTTTATAAAAGATCATTCAATCTTTTTTAATTAAATATAATGGTAATAAGTCTTAAAATAAATATTTCTATTTTTTCTCACAAAATAATCAGTACCTATTTTAAAAAAAAAGCAAAGTTAAATTTTCTTGGCAACCCTGTTCAAATTCTGTACAGAAAAATAGGTTTAGAAGGAATTTCTTAATTATCAGACTCTTATCGAGTCCTTGAAGTTGTGATGAATGTTTCTCAAACGGTTGACGATTACAATAAATTCTCACAATCAGAGAGCAATAACAATAACTTAATAGTAACTTGGTGTTAACTTGTGTTACCTTCAGCAACATTTTCCCGGTGCTCCTCGTTTCCTTGCTTCTCAGATCGATTTCTCTCTAGTTCTCTCTCTGATTCCGTTGGAGTGTGAGGTGCAGTGTGTGGGTGTACGAGAGTATCTGAAGAGTGTGAAAATGAATGATATTGCTGATTTTCTAGTAAAAGAGTGTGCGGTGCAGATGCGGGACGGAACGCAGCTCCATCTCGTAGAACGCTAGCTCTGCCCAAGCTATCAATTTCGTTAGGAGACCTGAAAACAGTAACATTTATTTGCACAGGAGAAAAAGGCAAGCATTGCCATATCATTAACGAACAATAATTTACTTTCAATTTTAAAAAGTTGCAATCTCAGACAAAAACGTATCAAAATTGTTACCATGCAACGTTTTGAAACTTTTTTTTATTTCAATTTGCAGGCTTCATACTCATCTACTAAAACCTGCTGAAACTATTTTCTATTTTTTAAATTTTGCACTACTTTAAATTCGCTAAAAAAATTTTAATAAAATTCTTTCAAACGATTCAAAAAATTTTTGAAATTCAGTTATTTTCAATATTTATTTTTTTTTAATTTTCCCAAATTAATTTTTGGATTGATACTTTTCTACTATTTTCTTCATTCTCAGAGTTATTTTTTGCTGTTATTAATTATCGAGTATGAAGCCTGAAATTTTTACTTTTAAAAAGTGCGATAATTCCGGGATACAGATAAGACAGGAGTGGATGATGAAAAAAATAGGGTAAATGTTGAAGACAATTGAAAAAATGTTAAGTACATTTAGAAGACTGGATTCAGGTTTTAAAATTGGACCTTACCTTGTTAACCTTTTTTGAGAGCCCTCGTAATAATTGGCTGGAGAGTAAGAATTTGACAAAGAATAACTATTTAAAGTAGGTGATGGTGTGGGTGTAAGTGTTCTCTTAATTCTTCGGGAAAGTCCTGATTCAGGCGTTTCAACTACTTGTGTCATTTTAGCGTCAGTGTGTGTCACTGAGGAATTATTGTTGTCTGCGACGTGCCTCTGGGCCACAGCTAGTTTCTCATGCTCAATCGAGAGTCCCTTTACCTGAAAACAAAAAATCCCATTACTTTTTTTAGAAAAATTCTCATCTTTCTGCAGTGTAGAGAAGAAGAACCGAAATTAATTCTTCCTAACGAAAGTTAGAGCAATTTTTGTTTTCTGGCATATATCAAACTTTCCTTATTTTTATGAAATTTTCTTGAAAAATATACTCAAAATCTAATTCTGTGGACTCAAATGACCTTTTCTATTTTTTCTATTTCTACAGGTATATTCAAAATTATAATTTTTCTCTTACAGAGCATTTAAAACATTTGTACATATTATTGAAAAACTTGAACTAATTGATTTTAAAGTATACGTGACGCGCTCCGAAGAAAGGCACATAATATTAATTATTATATATTATTATTATTATTATTATTATTATTATTATTATTATATAATTATTACATTTAAAATAATTAATGAAAACTGATTTTAGTTTTACGCAATAAAATAGAAACTTTTAATTAAGGAAAGAATAGCACAAACATAACCTTGGAATTATTTGCTTCGTAAGTGTACCTTTCTTCGGAGTGCGTCATACACATAATTATTCACTTGTTTCATTTAATGATTTTAAACATTAACCAAACTTTCAATTAGGTATTCTATTTCAATTGTTTAGACAAGTTTTTAGAAATAATATAAAATTATAAAAGTACTTGCCTCCAATTCACAAATGGAGTGATAGATTATCAGTGGTACATTGTATCAACTTTAACCGCTGTTACTAAAATGTTTCTAGTTAATTAAATAATTAAGGGTTAATGACAGGCTTCACAGTGCCCCTAAAAAGTATTTTAGGGGAAATAGGGGACTTTTAGGGAACCATAAAAATTGGTTAAATAAAGATAAAAATATAATTTATTTATACAGTAGGGTTGCCACAAAAATTTAACTTTATTTTTCCCTCACTTTTCCCTCATTTCCAAACACAACTTTCACTTTTTCCCTCACTGTAAACTAAAGAATATTCTGATTCACTCTCAAAATTATTAAATATTCGAAAAAATCTTATATTTCATTTATTTACAAATTTCTTCAAAAGTAAAATTATTCGAAAACATCAACAACTTCTTTTTTAAATAAATATTTTATCATTTTGTTTCATTGGAATTAAATTGTTCAAAAATTTCAAATTGAACAATTCATAAGAATATTATATTATAAAACATAAAGACGATCGACTGACAAAATCACTATTTTATTATTATAAGAATAATTATTGTTACTGTAATTTCTTCAAAATTATTTGTATCATTTCAATTCAATTAACATTTTCTAGAATTTTTAACTAAAATTCAACTTTAAATTAATAACATCAATTATTATTCAATTAAACTTTTTCAAAAAAATTAATTCTACAGAATTGTTAGTTAAAAGTACGAAAAATAATAATTTAATTCTACGAGAAATCAATTATTTAGATACAAAAATAAATAATATTGAATGTTTCTTAAAATTTCATTCTTACGAAGAATTGTATTAACAACTTTTGATAATATTTAATTTCTTTTAAGGAATTTAATTCAAATTTTAATGAAATTTATTATATTGAAGAATTTTATAACAATTTTAGAAAATAATTGAAAACTTTTTGAAGAATCTTATTAAATTTTTTTAATATAATTGAATTCTTGAGAAGAATTTAAATAATAATTTTTAAAAACAATTGAATTCATGAGAAGAATATTATTAAAATTTTTGAAAATAATTGACTTCTTCAGAAGAATTTTTGAAAAAATTTTGACAATACTTTAATTCTTGAGAAGTATTTCCCTATCTATTTATAAAGATAATTTAATTCTTAACGAGAATTTTTAAAAAATTTTGAAACTAATTTAATTTCTGCAAAGTATTTTATTACTTTTCAAAAGAATTAAATTCTTGAGATGAATTTTGATATTTATCGAAATAATTGAATTTTGGAAAAGAATTTTATTAAAATTCCTCAGAATAATTGATTTTATGGAAAGAATTTATGCGATTTTGTTGTTTACAGGCTTCGCACTCCATTATGAGTTTTAAAAAAGTAGGAAAAAGTAGCCTCGACGACAAAAAAAAGTAGGAAATAGTAGCCTCGGTGACAAAAAAAAAGAATTAAAGAATTTCATTAAAAACTTTTTAAAAAATCGAATTTTCAAAGTATTTTAATTTAATAATTGATAAATAATTACATTTTACAAGGAGTCACATTCTAATGTATTCATGTTTCTAAGTGCGAAGATTAATAATTAAAATTTTTATTAGTTAATTTAAAAAAAGAAACACTTCAAATTTTTTAATAAAATTAAATTTTCGCAAAGTTTTTTTTGAAAATTTTGAAAAATAAGATTTTTTAATTCTGTTATTTAAAGATAATTGAATTTTTATAAACAAATAATTGAAAATTTTTTATGTAATTGATATTTCTTTACATTATATTACAAATAATTTACTTCTTTTAAAGAATTTTATTTAAATTTTTCGAAAATAATTAAAAGAAGTTAGTCACCGTATAATTATAATTTTATTTTTAAAAATTTATTCGCAATACATTCAATTATTTTCATAAATAGTAAAACTTCGACAAAACTAAATCACTTTCAGGAATTTTAATAAAATTCATTGTAAAAGTTCAATTATTTCTATAAATAACAAAAAATCATTTATATTCACCACAAGAATTCAATTATATTCAAAAATTTTTCTTCATTCAATAATTTGTATGTCTACTGTTTTAATAAAATTTCCAAAAAGAATTCAATTACTTAAAAACAATGTTGGCAAAATTTTACACGAATATTCAATTATTTTCTAAAAGAATGAAAATTTCATAGGAATTGAATTATTAAAAATAGAGTTTATTTAGATTTTAAAAAAAAATCAATTATTTGAAACTTTTTTATAAAATCCTCGCAATAATTCAATTACTTTCATAAATAATAAAACTCACTGCAGAAATAGAATTATATTTAATACAATTTTAATCAAATTCGTCGAAAAATGCAATTATTTTTAAAAATTTGATTAAAATTTGTCAAAAGAATTCAATTATTTCAATTATTTTTCAAATTTTTAATTAAAATTATTAAAAAAACATTATTTGCAAAAAATTTAAAGAAACTCGTCAAAACAATTTAACTATTCATGCAAAATCTAATACAAATTTTTGAAACTATTTGTAGATTTATTTATGTTTGAAATCAAATAAATTTAAATTTGATGAGAAAATAAAACCGGGAAAAACAGGGAATTTAAAGGTTATCATTTGCAAGAAAATCTAAACACAATTTATAATCAGTCACTATTGATAGAGTAAATGTCGGTAAAATTATTTCCTAATATCTTATTGACGGTCGTTTTTCATTAACGATTTTAGTTTTTAACGCTGTTTTTAAATGGAAATGTGAAAACTAAAAATCTAAATTTGACTATTTGTTCAGAAAAGTAGCTTTTAGTAGCATTAGGCTCAAAAAAGTAGCCAAAAAGTAGCCTCATATCAAAAAAGTAGCAAATAGTTATAGCTTTTAGTAGAAGAGTGCGAAGCCTGTGTTTATCAAGCTAATTGAATTTTTTTGCAAAATTACTTAAAAATTTTTGAAAATAATTGATTTTCTGCGACGAATTAAATGTTATTTATGAAAATATTTGAATTATTGCAACGAATTTTACTGTTTTATTGAAGAATTGAATGTTTCTTAAAATTGAATTCTTTCCTCAAGTTTCAATAAAATTTTAAATAATAATTGCATTTTTCAAGGAATTTATTTAAAATTGTATTAAAAATATTTAAAATTCTGCGATGAAAATAATTGAATTCGTAATTGAAATTTTGCTATTTATAAAAGTAATTGAATTCTTGGCGAAATATTCATTAAAATTTATAAAAATAATTGAATTCGTGCAAAGTATTTTATTAAATTTTGTTTAAATAATTGAAATTTTGCCACGAATTTAATTAAAATTTTTTACAATAATTGAATTCTTGAAAAGAATTTTGATATTTATCAAAATAATTGAATTGTTTTGCAGAATTACTTAAAAATTATTGAAAATAATGGATTTCCTGCGACGAAAAAATAGGGGAAATTTTGAAAATAGGGTACGTTTAGGGGCCAAAATTAAAAAAGGGGACTTTTATGGAAATAGGGGACAGACTGTTAATGTTTACAGCAAGCATAGTTTTAACAATAGTCGTCAAAATAACTATAATCTATCGAGGCTGAAATGATTTTAGTTTTCGTCATAGTTACTTTCGTCGTAAATAGGTACTTACTTTCACTTTTTAATAAAACGGACATAAATTGTGGATTTGACTTACCAAATTTCATAAAAATTAGGAAAGTTTTTTATCCTATAGTATCATCAAATGTTTACTCAAGAAGAGCTACAAAGCTTTAAATATAATTTATATTATCAAACGTAATATCAATTGAGAAATGCATCCAAGATAATATACATACTATAAAAGAATTGTTAAACTTTTAGTTTTCCACTGTTACTGATGATTTTGAATGACTTACTTGCAAACACTCGGCGGCCTTCAAAAACGAACTTAGAGACTCTTGGGATACGTGGACTTCTCCTCGATACATAAACTCAAGAAGAGATGACATATTTTGAGCACTCGTGCCATCCAGTATCACGATCAGTCCTGCTGGAGAAGGCGGCATGCTCTCGAACAGTTCTTGAAAATGCTTACTGCAGGCAGCTAGGATCAATTTGTGTGCCTTAAATGTAATTCCTGTAAATAAACAAATTCTAACTGAACAATTATATTTTATAACAAGCTAGTAGTATACTGAAAGAAAGTAAATTATTTTTAAAAAATTTAGTATGCATAATCTACGCGAAAAACTTTAAGGTATTTTAAAATTAATGCTTGCCGCAAGATTGTCTTAAAAATGCTGCAAATAATTTTATTATACTTCAATTAAAATATTTATTTATTATCATAAAATAGAATTTATACCAACAAGCTGACCGAAATATTGCATTAAGCTGGCTGCAAGATTGCTCTAACTGCACAGCAAAAAATTTTATTGTTTACATTAATATCATAAAAAAAATTTTTAGCTGCAAGCTTACGGAAACTTTGCAGTAAGTTTGGCGTAAGCTTCCTATTGGTGGGACATTTCAAGATTGTTACAAGATTACGTGCTATCTTGGTACACTGAACAGAGTTTTTATTTAATTGTTAATTCTAATAACCGATTTCTTATCTGTTATCAAATAAATATTTACTTGAATTCACTTGAATAATTATAAATTATTTGCTTTAAATAAAAAATAATCGATTCAAGTAAATATTTATTTTATAATAGACTTAAGTAATCTGCTGTTGGAATAAAGTACATTTTTTCCAAGTGTAATGAAGGAATTGATCCTATTTCATTAGTCAGAAGTGACTAAATTAGATTTGGAGAGTGCAGAAACCATTTTTTCAGCAATAGACTTTTGATGAATTTTCATGTAAAAAAAATTGAATAACAATGGAATTTTTCAGTATTTTCAACCTTAAAACGATGTTTTTTTTCAAGAAAATGCTTCAAAAATTGTAAAAATAAATTTTTTCATTCGGTAATTTTTTGTAGATACAAAAACATATTTTCTACAAAGTTACGGATGGATTCAATTAAAACTAGTTGTAATGTAAAAAAATCTCAGCTAAAATCACAAAATGAATATCTGTAAAATTCTTTGAGTTTTATAATGTGATGACGCAAACAATTTATTGTAAATAAGAAATACAATTTTTCTTGCTGTAAAACATTCAAATAGAATGAATTTTTGCTGTATTTTTAATAAGATTTACTGCACTGTAAAAATTAAAAAAACACAACATTTTTGTAAATTTACTACATTTACAGGCTTCACAGTCTGTCCCTATTTCCCTAAAAGTTCCCTTTTTTTAATTATTTTCATAAATTACAATATTCATCCCAAGAATTCAATTATTTTCAAAAGCAATAAAATTCTTCGAAGAAATTCAATTATTTTAGAGCTGTGCAAAATAATTCGAACCGAACTGTTTGAATTTTTCGCCTAGTTCGAATGTCGAAAAACCGACATTCGAGTTAGCCTAGTTCGAATGTCGAATATTCGACATTCGACATTTCGGCGCCCCAAAACCGAACTAAACTCGGTTCGGTTCGAATTTTGCACAGCTCTAAATTATTTTAAAAAATTTTCCCGAATATCTCGTCAAGAATTCAATTATCTTTACAAATAGCAAAATTTTTCTCCAAAAATTCAATTATTTTCAAAAATTTATAAAAATCTTTGCAAAAGTTCAATTACTTTTAAAAGATTTTTGCAATTGAATAATTTTTAATATTTACTATTTTCATAAAATTTATCAACAGATTTAATTATAGAAAAAACTTTTTGATACAATTCTACGAAAAGATTCAATTAGTTTCATAAATAATAAAATTTTATTTACAAATTCAATTATTTTCATCGCAGAATTTCAAATATTTTTAATACAATTTTAAATAAATTCCTTGAAAAATGCAATTATTATTTAAAATTTTATTGAAACTTGAGGAAAGAATTCAATTTAAAAAACATTCAATTATTCAATAAAACAATAAAATTCGTTGCAATAATTCAAATATTTTCATAAATAACATTTCATTCGTCACAGAAAATCAATTATTTTCATAAATTTTAAGTAATTTTGCTGAAGAATTCAATTAGCTTGATAAACAACAAAATCGCATAAAGTCTTCCCATAAAATCAATTATTCTGAGGAATTTTAATAAAATTATTTTCTAAAATTCAATTATTTCGATAAATATCAAAATTCATCTCAAGAATTCAATTCTTTTGAAAAGTAATAAAATACTTTGCAGAAATTAAATTATTTTCAAAATTTTTTAAAAATTCTCGTCAAGAATTAAATTATCTTTATAAATAGATAGGAAAAATTCTTCTCAAGAATTAAATTATTTTCAAAATTTTTTCAAAAATTCTTCTCAAGAAGTCAATTATTTTAAAAAATTTTAATAAAATTCTTCTCATGAATTCAATTGTTTTCAAAAATTATTATTTAAATTCTTTTAAAGAATTCAATTATTTTTAAAAAATTTAATGAGATTCTTCAAAAAGTTTTCAATTATTTTCTAAAATTGTTATAAAATTCTTTAATATAATAAATTTCATTAAAATTTGAATTAAATTCCTTAAAAGAAATTAAATATTTTCAAAAGTTGTTAATACAATTCTTCGTAAAAATTAAATTCTAAGAAACATTCGATATTATTTATTTTTGTATTTAAATAATTGATTTCTCGTAGAATTAAATTATTGTTATTCATACTTTTAACTAATAATTCTGTAGAATTAATTTTTTTTGAAAAAGTTGAATTGAATAATAATTGATGTTATTGATTTAAAGTAGAATTTTAGTTAAAAATTCTAGAAAATGTTAATTGAATTGAAATGATACAAATAATTTGACGAAATTACAGTTAACAATATTCTTATATTATTAAAATAATGATTTTGTCAGTCGGTCATCTTTAATTATTATAAAACATAAAGAAATGGATCTTCGACTCGGAGTGATCCATTTCTTTATGTTTTATAATAATATTCTTGTGAGTTGTTCAATTTGAAAAGGTTGGAATTTAAAATTTTTGAACATCTTAATTCGAATGAAAAAAGAAAAAAATGATGAAATATTTATTTAAAAAAGAAGTTGTTGATGTTTTCGAATAATTTGACTTTTGGAGAAATTTGTAAAGAAATTGAATAGAACATTTTTTTGAGTAGGATCTAATAATTTTGAGAGTGAATCAGAATATCCTTTAGGGTGAGGGAAAAAGTGAAAGTTGTGTTTGGAAATGAGGGAAAAGTGAGGGAAAAATAAAGTTAAATTTTTGTGGCAACCCTGTATAAATAAATGATATTTTTACTTTATTTAACCGATTTTTAATGGTCCCATAAAAGTCCCCTATTTCCCCTAAAATACTTTTTAGGGGCACTGTGAAGCCTGCATTTATGTGGTGTTACAGCAAAAACTGTAAATTCACAGTACGTTTGTACTGTAAAGTTACTGTCTTATAGAGATTTCTGGCAGTGTACTTTTTAGTAAAGAAGGACAATAATTTAGAGAACTTTTAAAAATAAAATTTTTGTAAAAAATATTCATTGTATCCAATAGACAACTGATGGTAACAACTTGGTTGATGCGGACTAGCATAGCGAGAGGGTTGACTCGGACAATACGGGATTGACTATTCCATTATATAATATGCGGTCAAAAAACAAAAAACTGTTAGAACTGTACCCAGTCTCCCTTACATTTCAAGGAAATGTTTCTCCTACATAAGATTTGAAAATAAATATTAATGAGAAGCCTTAATTCTGCATATCATTTCATCTTTATGAATCATCACCATCACACTGTATCCGTCTATATATGCGTATTTTTCTGTATTCTTCTGTACGTTTAAAAACGTCTACAAGTTTCCTTTCTTATGTTTCTAGGTGCCTCCACAAATCCATCCATTTATTCTTATCTATTCGCCCCTCCCTTTTCATTAGCAAAAAATAAAGCTAAAGGAAAGCTATAAATAAAAATAAGTAGAAACACTGCAAACACGAACGTCTCCTAAATGTCTTGCTAGAAAACGCCGAGACATTTGCTTCTTGCTTATTCACAACAAGTATTTTGATTTTTGAATTAGCTCCTATGTCCTAGAAGCCTTTATTTTCCCTCTGATCTGCAATGCATAAACTGTACATTTCACTATATTTCACTACCTACGACTACGAATCTACATTCTACGATGTGGTTCGTCTATCGATTGCTAATTCTTTTTTTTTTTTTGGTCGATGTGACAAATCTATTTTGTTTTTTCTATTTTGTTACTGTTCAACGACCAGCTTTCAAGTTTTTTGTCTTTTGCGGGAAAATTGATCATTGAACCTAATAAAATGGTTCGAATCCTTATTGTTCATGTGATTCTAAAGCATATTTTAAGCAAAAAATGTGTTGACCCTTAAACTCTTGTTTCAAGTTGGCCTAACTTATTGATTAAATCCTAATTTATAAAGATTTACTTTCTTCTGGGAAAACTTTTAAAGACTTGTCGCCCGAAGAAATGAAACAGTTAATTTGAAAATAAGTTGAGCTTATCGAAAGACGATATTTAGTGAAATTAATTTGAATTTCCAAGAGGCTCACTGAATTGAGAATATATTGTGCATTTTGTACTTAAAAAATAGGCTTTCTAAATGGTGGTTCTAAATTGAGAGAAAGAGCTAGAAGCAAATAGCGGTTGCGAATATTTTTAAACATTTATTTATACGTACGATCACACGTGTGTTTGCACTTTGCATGCTTACGCGTGTAAAGTTTCATAATACGGTCCCTCTCTCTCGCTCTCTCGCTCTCTCCTAATTCGTATCGTATCTCTCTTCCACTCTACGCTTCTTAACATATTTTTTTCTTATCTTTATTACGCCGTGTCATTGACTTTGAGCAAGTTTGACTCCTCTCTGCAGCATAATCGGCATGTGCAGAATGTGACCTCGATTCTAGTCGGCCATTGGCCAAGAACGGAGGAAGGCAATCCTAGAGATTTGCCCCTTCTCGTTCTCTACAAAAACTTACACTCTGCAACGACCTTGGCAGGGCATTGACCGTCAATTCGTGGATTTTTATTGGCCGTTCTATACTTTCAAAGAAGCGTGGATCGTGGATCTTTGTCTTTTAAAACTCTCAGCCATTCTCCAATGCTATTACTACACGAATATACATATACCACTCGTGTAGGTACTTCTCCTTCCTTCTTTCTTTCTTTCTTTCTTTATAATGACGAAACAATATGGTTAGAATACTGATGAATAAGGCAACCAACTAAAACAAGATGGAAAGCTTTTCTACTGTTTATCGTTGCAATTATATATACAACTAACATGTATAGTGAAAAAACGAAAAATCACACAAGGGAGGGCCGGCCAGAATGAAACAATAACTCGGAAGTCGTTCCGCAATCGATAATTTCTTCGTTACGAAAACAACTTCTTACGATACTATAGAGGGCGTTTGCAGTTTTCTTGTCATTGGCGAAAGTTTCTAGCGTAAATATTCCCGAAACTATTAAATCTACTCTTGAAATATTATTTCTATTTGATATTTCATAAATTTACGAAGTTAATGGACAAAATAATCATGATTTTGGGTAATTTCCTGTTCGTCATCACAGAATTTTACTTTCTTGTAAAACTGTTTTACAGTGTTAATTTTAGTCAAATAAAGTACCGTAAAGTGTTAGTGACGGATTCTATTGGCCAAATTTTTAATTTAAAATTTTTCCATTAAAACCGTTTTTCAGATTTGTTATTTTTTCTAATTTTCAACAAAAATATTTAGTTAATTAGTTCTTTCTAATCCTGCTAATAAATTCAATTCCTGCAACGAATTTCATTATTCATCAAAGAATTTAAATATTTATAAAAATAATTTAATTTTTGCGAAAAATTTTATAAAATTTTTTAAATAATTTATTTTTTTCGAGTAATTTTATGCAAATTCTAATTTAAATAATTGAATTCCTGAGAAATTTTTATTATTCCTGAAAAGAATTTAATTCTTAAGAAGATTTTTACAAAATTTTTTTTAAATAATTGAATTTCCAGGAAGAATTTTTTATTGCTTTTAAAAATAATTGAATTCTTGTAACATCTAAGAAGTTTACATAGTTCACTGTCACAGATATTGACCATTAATATCTAGATAATAAGGCTTAATATCTATTTTTCTCAGTGCATAACGTAAAAAAAGTAGTAAATAATAGGTTTTAGTAGATGAGTGCGAAGCCTGAAGTTTATAACAAAAAACATTCGGCAGGGATAGTTTTAGAAAATTTTATAGTTTTGTAAGTTCATAGTCAGTAAAACATAATTGTTTTACACAATTTTTTATTATGCATCTTTTAAATCTGAGAGGTGACGATCGTCTCAATCGTTCTTACGTCGACTTTTCAGTAAATCATCATTTTCAAAATGGCTCTCTTTATAGAGACTTGGAAAGCGAGTATGCTAAGCATTTATCAAGTAGTTACGCACTTTGAAGCATTCCACAGTGGGACAAACGCTCTTTTCAGAGTCAAAAGTCTAGTGCTGAGCAACAAAATTTGAGGCGATTTTATGCGCCAACTACTTTTTTATTACATTTAAATTAAGAATCGAAGTATACAAGAAGCTTGAAACTCGATGGAGTAATTTTAAACATTATACCTTCTCAGTTCAAGTTCAAGTTCAAGTTCTTGAATGCATTTACATGTACTCGAAAGTCTCCAAAAAAATAGTATTTTTTGTTATTTAGGTAAACAAATAATGTAAAAAATGGCTCAAAAAAACAAGTATTAAGTATTTGTTGTTATGTAATTAATGCGAATGTGAATTTGCAGCATGAGCGAGCGCAGAAACGTGCTGCAAAGACACGACTATATAAACAATCACTTTCCTCCCTTCCTGCATCACTCGCAGTTACAGAGATAGTTTAAAGGCTCGTTTAAAGCTCATTGGAACCTCTTGCGGAGGCGTGGCTTAATATTTATATTTTCCAGTTTTCAAAAAACTAACTAATGAGCTACTAATTTACTCAGTGTGACCAAGTGTTATAATGTCTAGTGTAAGCTAGTTGCAGAAGAGAGCTTAAGCTCTCCGAGAAAAATTCCTGCAACCTTAAAATGACAAATTGCTTCAAAAATCAAAAGAATGATTGATACAACATTGTAAAGGCGGTGATTTTTGTAAGCTTACTTCGAAATGATGTAAGGTTGCTGTAATGTTTATAAAAAACATTCCTTAAATTAAAAAAATTACAAGTTTCTATATATTTGTTTTTTTTTCCTTTGAAACCCTTTCGACGTTCATTTTTATTAATAAGAAATTTTTTGAAACAAATTTGAGGGAAGTGGGAAATGAATCAGACTTCGATGAATACTGGTCCAAGACCCTATATGGAAAAAATTTGTTCGTCTAAAAGTTAGGAACCATTTTCCAAATCTAGGATACGAGGCGAAATTTCTGAAATAATCAAGAACATCTTTAAGGATAAGAGTGTGTTAGGGATGGAACAGAAAAAACTTTTTCTTACATCCACACTGAAAAAAGTTCGGTGTCGCTGCATTACCGGCATCATTCTCTTGTTTCTATGCAAAGCAGAGTGTTGCTGCTGTCCCTCATTGTGACGCTGAGGCACCAAAGAGAGAAAGCAGAAATGCCTAACTATATCGGCAAGGCGAGCTATTCGTCTGATCAGGACCGCTGCCAACCCTTGCGATATGTGACTACGCTCTGCAGCAGAACTATTCAACGAATCGAATTTGCACAAGAATTTTTTGTCACTTTTTAGATTCATCCCTAAATTCCGTAAAACACTAAAAATAAAGTTGAATTTGCTTTGATTGTTTAAATAAATAATTTATTGCAATATTAAACTATGGTGGACCTAAAATGTCGCTGATTACAAAGACCCCTGCAGAAAATACATTCTTGAAAAAAACTTTCGACCAAATTAATTGAAACCTTCAGGAAAAACTCAAACTGTAATTCTGAAAAAACTTTTCCTCTACCAAAAAGTCGGTTTCAGGAATCGTTTACTCGCTAAAAATAATGTTAATAGTTAAACATTTTTAGTGGGTAAACGAACCTGGAAACCGATTTTTTGTCAGAGGAACATTTTTTCAGAATTACATTTTGAGTCTTTCCTGAAGGTTTCAATCACTTTGACTGGAAGTTTTTTCAATGTATATATTAAGAATACTATGAATCATAATATTTATATTAGAGAATATGAAAGTAAGTTTGAAAAATACTTAAATTAATATTATATTTAATTATGAAAGAAGATTTCGATTAATATTATATTTTTTTCTTAAAAATATTAATACACAAATGTTAGATTTTTTTAATTACTTATAAGAAAGTTGATTATAGAAGTCGAATTTAAGAAAAATATCATGAAAAACTTCCGTGTACTGTTGCACGAAACTTGACACAGTATTGCATAGTAAGTTTGGCACTATAATACAGATCAAGATAACGTTGGAGCAAAATTGAAAAGAAAACATGAAATCTGAGGCAATATTGCTAGGCAATATTATGACCATGCCTTTCTGCTTGCGGATACAAAGAACTTAAGTATGTTTCGTAAACTATCTAAATATATACTACAGGCAGGGGGCCAAACTGTAATGCATTTGTGGGATATTATACAATGTTTCGACGTCTCGCTATAAAGGCGCTGATGTAGTCACACAAAAACAAATTCCCCTTGTTGTGAAGAATTTTATATTATTTTCATATTCAAAATGTCAAGTTCAGATTCTCTGATATTAACGGTTAGAAAATCTAAAGTGCATATTAATGTAAACAAATAAAAAATGTTGAAGGTTTCAGATTTAACGACATTCATAGCTTGTGTTTTGTAATTTGTAATTTACACTTTGGCTAAAACGTTATACAATAAAGTGATTATCTCTGATTATACTTTTGGATCAAACCGAATAGAGAAAAACAAATGCAGTCTCAGAATCAAAGCACATGCGGCTAGTCACTGATACCTGATTGATAATAGCGCATTCGAATTTGGAATTTATAATTGGGAGGCTCAATTCATAACTTACATCTTTTTAAAAGATTTAAATTTCTTTTCTTTATAATAACAGATACTACTTGAATTCTTTTAAGATGAATTGAGCGCAGCGTGCAATAACAGCTTAACAGCAGCTACGCTCGGGCTGCCTCTCATCCCAACCGAAATATCTACTTCGAGATGCGTAGAAGAGGAGAGAATCTAGTCCCACCGCGCAACTCGAAGTAGATATTGCGATTGGGAAAGACAGCCCAAGCGCAGCCGCAGCTGCTGTTAAGCTGTTATTGCAAGGCTCAATTGCAAGTTTACAGAAAATTTTCACTGAAAGCTCACAGAAAGTTTTCATACCCCTGAAAAAGCTTGCAAATAACTAAATTCGTGCGCAGAAATTTTATAGGCCCCTGTAAAAGTTAGGTTAGGCACTATTTTTTAGCAACCTTCTCTCAAGGAAAGGCTTGCATGCTCTAAAGAATACAACTTTTGTCACATAATTAAGTACATGTTGAAAAGACAATATTAGAGGTGGTATAATAATAAGGACATGAGTTGGAGAATGTTTGCGGAAAATGAAATGGGTGAGAGATTAAAAATCAGGCAGTCAGGCTTACCTTCACAAAAAAGAGTGACATCTGTCAAGCTTTCACTTTTGAAGAGATTTGAGAATGCCGTTGCCAAGTTATTGCCAAAACTGTTCCATTTAAGGCAAAATTGTTGTTGTGAGTCCATGATGTTATCCCCAGATCCAAGTTCCTCGCCAACTCTGTCAGTGTTTGCTTTCAAGAAAAACTTTCCCTCCCGATTGTTTCTGCTGTCCACCGCTTCTTCAACTATAAACAATAAATTATATTTTGTATTACAATAGGGTCTGCAAGAAAATCTTGTAAAATAATTCGATGGGTTCTACGAATATAGTAAACTGCCATTTCGTTACTATAACTGCACGATGAAAATAAATAACAATCTAACATTTTCTTACTTATTAGAAGTGTTTTAACTAAAATCATTATCTTTTTCACATTTAATTTTCATTGACGTTTTAGGTGTTCTTTTTAATTTTTTTAATAAATTTAATTTAAATTACAAATTAAGTAGGGTATCACATCCCTTGTAATCGGAGCCAAAAGTTTTATTTGTAGCCGCGTAATGCTATTTAACGCAGTATACTTTCTCCCTCAAGTTTTAATTCATAATAATTATAAAAAATTGGACAAGTGCGAGTTGCACTGGCTCTGAAAATCATTCTAGATGTTAAGGTACCTTTCTTCGGAGAGCGTCAAAAAATAACATTTAAATTAGTTTAAATTAAATTAAAATTTAAATTAATTTAAAATAGCTTTCAAATTATATAATTGATCACATGTAAAATAATTTAGTTCAGGAATAAAGTTCAGAATAAAGAAATGATTTTTAATGTAAATACCTAAAAGAAGACATAAATGCCATTTAATAGTGCAAAATAATTTTAAAACAATCATATATCCATAAATGTAAACGAAAATAATTGCAATATCTATTATCCGAACAAAGTTGTGTATAAAACTTTTGAAATACATTGTAAATTACCATAAAAAACTGAGTAAAATACTTAAGGTATTTTACTTGCCCAATCTTGCTTCCGCCTGCGGGGATAGGTGCACCAGTGGTGGATTAAAAGCGGTAGAAAAGCTCAAGTTTGTTATTTCTATTTTAATTAAATGTTTCCATTCTTTAAAGTATTCGGAAAACAAATTCTAGACAAAATAGCATGGACATGGTCTGTACTTTTTTTAGTTTTTTCGCAGGGCACTGTCCTACTCCTACTTGAATTGCAAGATATCATCCTAAAAAGCGATGATCTCATGCTATTGGAGTATGATTTTCTACTCAAAGCGCACAACAGTGCCTCATGCAGAAGGGGCACAAAGTATACTATTGTATACTATATATATTTTAGGTAGATTGTTCTCTCCGTGTAGGTGTATATAAAATTATTTACGTTAAACGTTTTAGGAACGTTTCTCGAACGTGGATGTTTATTCGCCCACTGGGTATTATCAGTAAATTAAAATTATTTGGAATTTTTTATATTATTTGAAAAAATTAATATAAAAATTTTTTGATGTGTGGAATACAATGACAATGAGGATAAATGCCCTTATTTTAATAATTTATTCAACAATATTATTGATATTTTCAAGTCCATAGATACGACTTTTTCTACAATAATGTTGCGATCAGTACTCAATTAATCGAAATGAAAATACGAATGGTTTTGCACTTAGGAATTTATCAGGTTGGATGTCGAAATTGACAAAATAGTTGTATGTCAATGAATAAAAAAAATCCGTGATAATAGACCAAAACAAGCTTCATTCATCTCTGAAATATCAAGAAGTGGGCATCTATTCGTACTTTACTGCCTTCTAGCGTCTTCTTCTTTGCATTAAAATTTCAAACTTTTCAGTGAAATACTTTTGAAATATTATTTTCTCTCCAAGTTATAATATACAAATTGAATCATTACTATGTTAACGATTAAGAAATTGTTTGACACATACACAAATAAGAAAAATAATTCCAAACACGTGTAATAAAACTGAATTTTAAAATATATTTTCTTTCTCCACAAAGTAAGTTTATAAATGATCCCGATAAATAATTCAAAAGTGTTTTACAGAAACTGAACAGTCTTATTTGTGATGATACCGACACTTACAATTTGCTTTATAAATTTGACGCGGACTCGAATTATAGGCAGATAAGGCTGACAGTTTTACATTTCCACATATATGTTTTTTTTAGAAAAGCAAACATTTTTGTCAATGCAAATAATTAATTCGCTTAAACGCAACAAACACCCTTATAAATAAAAACTTTCTTTCGGGACACTAAATGAATTTTATACTCTCTAAATCTGAATTAGTATTATTTTTTTTATTTTTCTTCATTAATATATATAATATATATAACATATATATAATTTTTTTGTTTTATAAAAAAATTTTAAAATAAAAAACACCGTAATCCATTAAAAATAGTTTTTATTCATAGATACCCAATGGGAAAAAAACCATTGGTGCATTAATGTCCCAATAATGGGAGCCACTATTCCATTATTGTCCCATTATTGGCACCCAATAATGGACCACTAATGGTAAAATCGTGGGATGTCCACGCCGATGCCAATAATTGGTAAACCATTATTGGCACATTATTGGCTGCCATTAAAAAACCAATAATAAAAAAAATTTTTTTATTAAATTTTATTAAATAATAAATTTATTTATTTAATAATTATTTTATTTATTATTATTATTATTTATTATTATTAAAAATATTAATTTTTTTAATTAATTATTTTATAGAAATGGTTATTATTTTCTATCACATCGAAATGTGAATAACCCTTTCGTTTAGAGTCTAAAAATTATTTACCTCACATCCATAAGTGCAAAAATAGGAGAGGACGGGCAGAATAAAATTCTACAAATATTCGTGAGAATGCTGCCTCCTTATATACTTTTCAAGTTTCATGTTAGTTCCGAGAGAGTTTTAAGCAACACCTCCTATGGGGTTTTGAGCGAACTACATACTTACTACATGATAATTTCTGCAGCGTCGGTCGGTAAGTATGTAGTTCGCTCAACGCTCCGTAGAAGGTGTTGTTTCAAACTCTCTCGCAACTAACATGAAACTTGTAAAGTATATAAGGAGTCAGCATTCTCACGAATATTTGTAGAATTTTATTCTGCCCGTCCTCTCCTATTTTTGCACTAATGGATGTGAGGTAAATAATTTTTAGACTCTGAACGAAAGGGTTATTCACATTTCGATGTGATAGAAAATAATAACCATTTCTATAAAATAATTAATTAAAAAAATTAATATTTTTAATAATAATAAATAATAATAATAATAATAATAATAATAAATAAAATAATTATTAAATAAATAAATTTATTATTTAATAAAATTTAATAAAAAATTTTTATTTTTTATTATTGGTTTTTTAATGGCAGCCAATAATGTGCCAATAATGGTTGCCAATTATTGGCATCGGCGTGGACATCCCACGATTTTACCATTAGTAGTCCACTATTGGGAGCCAATAATAAACCTAGAGAAAACCAATGGCTCCCAATATTGGGCCATTAATGCACCAATGGTAGACTAATGGCTATTTCCCATTGGGTAATATACGTATTTATAAAGTTAGAGTATTTTATTATTATTATTGTGATACATAATTATGATATCGAAGATAAATGTTCAATGTTTTCTTTTGATTTAAAATCAATAAAATTTGAAAATTTAATTTCTTTTTATAAACAATAATATTTATAATTTAAATATTATTATTATTACTATTGTTACAAATTTGAATATATTTATAAAAAATAACACATTTTATTAAAAATCAATTGTATTTAATTTAAATGTATTAGTAAATAACATTATTGAACAATTTATTATAATTTGTAGATGAAAAATGAAAAATGAAAAAGTTTTGAAAAAGTTTTCAAATATTTATGACGTCGTCAGTTGACATTTATAAGAGGGGCCTGTCATAGAATAACCTTGCAGTTACGAGAGACTCGACTGTATTAGGTAAAATGTTCCCAAGTCAGCTCGGCTGCTAAGTTATTGTCATTGACCTTGTTACCGGAAGTTTTATTTAAAATTAGAAAAAAACGTTTCCAAACACAAGTTAAATATATATACTGCATGTATGTTCAATATAAACAAAAATATTAGTCAAATTTTATTATTAATTATTAAATGGTAATTATTTGTAAAAAATTGTTATAAATACTCGTGCGTAGGTAATTGGGGTCAAAGTGCCGGTCATTAACGTAGGTATTTACTCTACTGCATGTAAATTTATAATAATTATAGTTATTGCACTAAACAATCTTTTTCATTAATATTAAGAAAATAGTACTTTTTCTACTATAGAAGCTTTGTAATAAGTGTGAAAGGCATTTAAAAACTGGCCTCGCAGTAATCAAACTATACTTCTATACTGCACGGGCCTTGTTTCTTGCAACACTTTTTCGTTAGAAATATAACTGATAAAATATTTTTCTAAGAATGAAAGTTATTATATAAAAAATATTTAGTTATTAAAAGTTATTAAAAGAAAAGGTTTTTTTATGAGTAATTTATTTAAATTTCGATTTTTTAACGATTACTTACGATTTAAAAATAATTATAATTTAGAGCTTCTAGTATAGAAATGGGCACTTTCTTTCAAAAGTATATTTATTTACATGACATTAAATAAATCGAATTATGATTTATTTCCATTTGCGATGCTTATAGCGCTTTTCAATATTAGTTAAAAAGTAAAAGTGATTGATTGATAAATAAATAATAGGAAGTAAATAAAAACACTGTACCGTATAATGAACTGCGCGAATTTGGATGTCCTGCATGAATAAGATTTTAAGCCACCGCAAGTTTTTTTTTTAAATTTCACACTCTGGTTTGTTTTGTTTACAAAGTGAAATCACTAATGTTAAATTGAGGAAATATTCAATTGGTATTATGGCATTCATGTTCATTAGCCTTGAAACGAACAAGAGCGGCAAATTTAAAAAGATGCACGTTTTATTTATGATTTTTATTTTTTGGATTTATGAATTGAATTGTTGAGTTGAATTAATATGAGTGTTGGTGGACAAACTGATTTTAGCCACTATACAATCTTAGTCGAACGCGATTTCTCGTCAAGGACTGATTACATGACACGACACGTGTCAACCGCAGAAATCGAAAGTCGAAATCTAAAAGCTGAAAAAGTCAGATGAATCGTACTGAAAAAGAATGTGTATATGGGTCATCAGTG